GGTTCGCGGACTCTTAACAGAGTCATTCTTTTCCTCGATTCGGGATTAAACCGGTGACTTGGGACACCATAAATCTCCCAAGTGGCGACTCTGAATTAAATAAACAAATCCCGTTTCGATTGTCCTTTAATTGGAAAAACTCCCTCTGCGCCTTGCGGGTGCCGGAAAAAGGAGGTGTGACAAGTTTTATATAAAATAACTCCCTAGTTCTGAACCGTTGGATTGCTAAAATCCAACGGCTGTGATCAGGCGTTACAAAAAGGGGATCGTTTGGGTTTTTGGGGGACCTGGACCGGGTATAATTGGCTTTGGGCTTGAGTTTAGGTAGGATTTGGACGGGTTTGGGGCAATTTGGGCTGGTTTGGGTCAAATTAACCCGATTTCAAAAATCAAACTCTTTATTTCCCCTTTTCTTTTCTTTTATCTTTTCTTTTCTCTTTTTTTTTTTAATTGAAAATCCTGAAATTAAAAATCCTATACTATCTAAAAAATGTGAAATTAAACTAATTAACTAATTATAAACATCACTTAATTCTTAATTAAAAGAGAACAAATCAATAAACTAAAAATTAAAAGACAAAAATGTAAAAAAAGAGTTATTTTTGTGATTTTCAAATTTCTATAAAACGAATAATCACTGATTAATCCAAAAATTATAAAAATAAATTCTAAATGCAATGCATGATATTTTTGGTATTTTTTCATGATTTAAATAAAAATTAAACATGCACATAAATGCAAATAATCAAGAAAATTCTACAAAAATTTCTAAAGGGGCAAATAATTAATAAAAAAACCTATCTTCTTGGGATTTTATAGGAATGTTTCATATAAGGCAAAAATCACATGCTCACATTAATATGTTAAAAGGAATCTTTAAACATGCTTGGGAGATTGCAGTTGATATTATGGAGATGCATTGTATCATTAAACATCTGCAACTTGAAGTAGTGCATTGTTTAAGGGAGGGGAATATTGTTGTAGATATTGCTAAATTTGGAGGCACAATGTAGTATCAAGGGATTGTTGATGTGTTCTTCTCAGTCCAAGAACTACCAGAAGCTGCTAGAGGTTCTTTCTATATGGAGAAAGCTCAAGTGACTAACTTCAGAGTTAGACAAGCCCGAATGAGTAGTTAGTAATTGATGTATGGGCTACTACCATTGTTTAACTTTTTTGGTTACCTTACTAAGGTCAATTGTAAAGGAGGAGGAGTCCTCTAGCCAGAAACTCTCTTTTGAGCAGTCCACCATAAGGATGTTTAAGAACATTCTTCACTCTCTAATGGAGGCCAAGGTTTATATCCTCCATGTACTATTTTTTTTGTGGTATTAATAAATTGGTAGGGATCGTGGCCTAACCCCACCACCATAGTAGTTTCTGATTTTAAAAGAAAAAAAAAAAAGAACTAGCAAAGTTCATATAAATGTAAACTAGTCAACTAACTCAATGTAAATGGGATGTACGTTCATTAATTCCTTTTCCTAATTGATTTTTGCCAACTTTTCCGAAACCCCCCTAAAGAGTAAATGCACTTGGACTATGCGTTACAATATCAAGCACCTATTTATTGAACTTTCCGTTTGTCTCAATTAAACTCGATCAAACCAAAGTATTTGTCAACATTAATGAAACAATAATTTGACTTCTCAATACTGTAAGATATCTTTATTCGATCATCTTGAAAATATTCTAGCTATCTCCATTTCTATTAGTTCCGTATGATATTATCGTTGTGGCTATAAATATTTTTTATTTTCTGTACTATATGGATATAGTTGTGTTTTTTCTGTTACAAATATTAGTTAGTATGATCTTGGTGCAATAAATAAAAAGTTGGTCGCTGCCACATGAAATTAATTTCATAAGAAAATGATCTCTTGGGGCTACTTACAATTTAAATAGAAGAAAATGATCTTTTTAATCTCTTTTGTGTTATTATTAAATCTCTTATACATAAAAATGAAGATCTTTTGCAAAAGAAATATAAAACTAAAATCAAGTTTAAAAAGGACTACAAAACCAGTTCTCCCGTTTGTATTTTGGTTGTATAACTATTTGAAAAGACGGATAGCAAAAAGTAAGATTTATTTTATCTTAACCAATAAATAATTTTTTTTTGCAGGAAATTAATTCAAAAAAAATGTCAGACAAGCAAAACATGGCGTTGTTGCAAATTTGCACATTTCTCTTAATATTGTTTTCTAAAGAAATGGTAAATTGTACAATATTAACACCTGAACAAAAGGAAAAAAATTGTCAGCAAGAATGTGTAGATGAATATACGCAACTCTATTGGGTGGGTCTTACTGCAGAAAAGGAGAAAGAATATGCAGAAGCTTGTAAAAGGGGTGAAAGATTATCTCCATGTCCGCTAGATCTCAAAGAACCAACCTTCCCATTTGGACGCGGCCCGAGGAGCAGTTACATCCCGGAAAATTTCATTAATTTTTATAGTCCGACCTCTCTATAACAGTATCTCTATTTAACGGGCATTCATATTATAAAAGTTAAGTTTTTTTCGAAATCGATTTTTATGGTATGTTATAATATATGTCATCTATAACAGTACTTTATTATATCGGAACAAACGTTATAGAGAAATTTGGTTATACATGTTTTAATATATTGAGAGGCTTCCTTTAATTATCACAATGTTGGTTTGCATATGAGCTTTTGAGTTATTTCTTTAGTGTCGCTCTTATTTTGGGATAGAACTTTAAGATGGATGTGTGATAATGTTGACTTATTGACTATAATAGTTGGTAATTAATCTGAATTTCTAGAAGTTCAAATTTTCAACCCGAAACAGACACCACATGTTTAACTTCAACTTTCAACCCAAGTGATGAATAAGATTTTATACCCCAAGTGATCAAAGATTTCAGCGCAGAGCATGTCAGAAGTGAGCACTCAAGGGTGTGATCCGATGGTCAATGAAATAGGTGAGAACCATAAGGCTTGATTGTCATAGGCGGACCTATGTCAGCGGTCACCGAATCCCGTTAACATCGACAAATTTCTAGATATATATATATGTTGAAAACATTTATATATTTTACCTGAAACCCTTAGATTAGATGTCTGATGAGCTACTGGTTGAGCAATCTGCTCATGTGCCCCGCCAACTTCAAATTCTGGTTCTGCCTCTAATGTTTGTAAAGTGCGTCCCCAGCACGTAAAGTTTCAGATACCTGGCCACTCTTTCTGGTCTGACTGCTGGAGGAATCACCATATCTACTTGAGCAAACAAAGATATCAAATAGCTAAAGGTATCTTCAAGAAATGCGATTTTAATTTGCTTCTCACCCTAGAGCTAATTTAATCGTAACAGATAACTAAGGGCGAGTACAAAGCCACCTTTTATGAGATGGCTTAATAGACCTAAGTGACAAATCAAGCAAGAAAGGGTTAAGCATGACTAAGAAGGATTTGAGAACACTTTCTACATCGTCAGTCAATATTTAAATCTACTCATAGGCAATGTCTTTAAATATCCTTGAAAATTAATGTCTCATTTCACATCAAGAGAGGTAATGTTCCATTTTTCTTTTTAATCAAAGTGGTGTTTGAGCCAGCTTGTGCGCACTAGACTAATTTCACCAAGTACCTGCTACCTTTCACCAACATAGATACTGAGTAACTTTGCCCGCCTAAGCTTGGGCAGATGGGAAGAAAACAACAGGACAGGAGAAGATGAGTTTGAGAATAAGGCAACTGTCTTACGTGCATCAATTGAAAACGCCTGTCTATATTTTGTCTCTTTGTTGTAATTTAAATGATGTAACTAACTTGAACAGCATTATAGACTTTTGTCTTCAGGCTTCAGACTAACTGTTGCTCTCTTGGCGCTAAGCCGCTAACTATTAATGTAAAGAATTACTTTTCTCAAAAATAAAAAAAACTTGGCAGTTTTCCCCCATAAAAGTATCTCTAGATGAGGCCACAACTTTGTCAAAAAGGTCTGAATGGTTAGCATGGGATGAATTTGGAAGGAACAACTATTTTTTGCTCATAAAAGGTGGGTATAGGCCATGAAAACCAAATTATGGTTTTAAACCATCGATTTTGTTTGGATCCCACCTTTCTTCCGAAAAAAGGGAAGGAGAAGGATCTTCTTCGGTGGATCCCTCTTGTTCCCGTTTAGTCCCCTTCATTTCGGAAGTATATAAGCTACCTCGTTCCCACTGCCATCTTCGGTGGATGCGCCCCTTCACTTAAAGGCGGATAGGGCACGGATGCGCCTTGATTTCCTCCAACTCCTTACTTAGTGCCGCAATGGAGTCCTTACACCTGTCTTTAGAAGAGAAAGCCTTCATACTATATTCGACTTGTAGCCCATTACTCCAGCAATGGCTCCAAATGTGAAATAAAGAGTCCATATATCCTTGTGGTTAGTGGAGAATAGCCATTGATCGAATTTGTCGTAAAATTGAGATTATTTCCTTTTTTTCCTTATCAAATTGAAAAGGGGGAGTGAGGGGAAGGAAGAATGGAAAGCCTTGGCTTTTATATTGATGGAACATTTTGATACCTTTTTCCTCTCATCCTCCCCGGTTCTGATTCAGGAAAGGGTCAATGCAAGGATCTTATTTCGAAGCAATCTCTAGAGTTTTCCTTATCCGAACGGTGCAAGAAAATAGGATTTCATATTGAGCTCCAAATGTTCAAAATATAATTTTTTTTCTCAACTTTTATTTTGCAGTATATTTATTAAGATGTTAAGCTTAATATGTTCCTCCGTGATGTCAGTTTAATCAAAGGAATAAGAGAGGTCATGACTGGCTTTTCAAAACCAGAAACTAAGCCACCAGTCCACAAGCTAACAGAATGGTAAACGCTAATAATCAACTAAGCCACTTTGCTTCATAAAATGCATTCCCAATTTTTACTTATTAAACTTAATCACCCCATTTCTTACAAAAGGTGGTAATACACTTTCAAAAGTATAAACAAATCAAAACCACTAAAACACCAAGATTAATAATAATTGTTCATTAAACACATAAAAATCTTCGATCCATTGGTTTGCATCAGAACGAAGTAATTAATTATAAGTCAAGAACTGAATACATTTGAATTCACTATATATACTATTAACTTTCAACTCCATCTCCACAAACCTAGCTAATCTCTTTAGTACTTAGTGCAATCTGTAGGCTGGAAGGAGATTTTGTTGGCCACAAGATCATATCCAATTAGGAAATTGGCCTGAGCCAAGTTTCCAAATATAGCAACTTCCTCAGCTGGCACTATCGTAAGACAAACCAAACCTTCCTCCACTTCTGCAAATGTGCTCGAAGGCGACAACTCTAAATCTGCATCTGTAAAATGCGCGACAATCTTGGGAGCATCGATAGTACCATTCTCAGACTCGTAACAGAGATCAAAAGTGCCAGAAGGGTCATCCCTCCTCGTAGCATTGATCGAATCCACTAACGTTGATTCCAAACTCGAGTAAAATTCACTAGGCAGCAACGTTAATGTCGTACCAGAATCAATTATAATGTTTCCTTGACCGTCATCACCAGGACCAGAAGAAGTAATATTAGGAGATTTGAAATCCACTATCTTATCTCCAACGCTAATATCTTCCAAATTTAGATAGTAGAATGTAGACGGTTCCTTTTTTATCAAGGGAGTTGAAACGACATTAGGGCCAGACACAGTGGCACTATCGCCAAAGTTGATGTGACTTGTGGCATTGGAATTTGATGATTGCAATGGAATTGGGATTAAACAATAAGAGAATTTCCCATTAATTTGTTTATCCAATTGGTTGATAATTGAGACTTCACCACCACCTAATCCAATAATACCAGAAGTATAATTATTGAACGTGCCATTATTGTCATGACCGCAACCAAACACAACATTAGGAATGGAAACATTATTTCCAGAAGTAGAAGGAAATGTGAATTTCTCAAAAGCAAGATCACCAATTGTTTGTGATTGGTCACCATAACTCATTTGATATTCACAAATATTTCCTCTAACACAAGAAGAAGTCCCTAATGATGTACATTCTTCAGCGTTACACCCCACAGTTTTATAAGTAGAGCTTTGTTTGGAATCAAAAAGAGGGGCTGATTGTTGGAAACAATTAGCGCAAGGCATACATTGTGTCCATGTTAAGTCGCTACCAGTGTCAGCTATAGCTACAATTTCAACTGGTGGAGTTCCAATAGAGATTTTCATGAGGTATTCTCCTGGAATTGGAAAAATATCCGATTGGATTGTGTCAGTAGCACTAGCAAAGGAATTTTTCTTGAAGAAGGAAGCCCGAGAAAATGATCGATGGAAGGCGTTTCGAAGGCGGTTTGATGGGTTGTAGAAAGGCGAAAGAGGAGAATCACGATGGATAAGATCAAGAGTGAAGCCGTTTCCACCATGGTTGCCTTTTATTTTGCGACAAGAAACCAAAGAAAGGTGAAAAAAAGCTAATAAGACTAATGTAGAAAAGAGAGTGCTAGCTTTAGTATTCATCTTCATGACTATAGGGTTTATGAGATTAGATATGGTTTTCAAGAATGTTGAGGAATGATGAAGAAAAGTTTGTAATTATACCATTTTATAGGTGAAAATAATTAAGCGAATGGGAATGCATGTAAGAATATAGAAAGTCAAAAGGACATATTAATTTGGAAGAAATGGTAAAGACACCAAATGCAAAGTATAAGATGTGAAACATTTCTTGAAAATTAAAGAAGAATTAAATTAAAGAAGAATACATGAGGAGTTTCATTTTCCTTAGAAGAGACAAGAATATTTTTAAGTGACTATGTCCAAAATGATTCATTTAATATACTTTTTTCCCCAATATTTACATTCACACCATGTGTAATAACATGCATTGATTTTCTAGGCATGGATTGTTTAGCTTACGTTAAGAAATATAACATGATAATCATTATATAAACATTTAATACTGCATGTGTACGAGTTTTGACCTATTACCTTCCTGCTGTAGAAAAACTTTCTAATAAACGATATAATATTCACGTAACAAAAGTTTTTGTATGGTTTAGAACAATGAATTTTGGAAGTTTTCTCACTTAGAAATAAATGAACTCCCATTTGAATGCAACATGTCATACATTTACCTTTTGCCTTCTATTAATGACTGGTTGAGCTTCATCTACCACCC